GCGATGGATTGATTTAACTTGAACAGCCTACAGGTAATGGCTGACAGAGTTACGAACTCGTTACTTTTTTTATAGTGCGGGCCTATGCATGTAGTCTACACATGCTTTCATCCTAGACTGACTGTTGCCTTATGGCCCCATTAATAGCGATTAGCGCCCCCGAAGCAGTCGTCAGGTGCTTGGCCTGGAATACGAGTGTCGCGGTGCTTTCGTCGGCCCCTACTGCCCTGCAGGTGTCAAATCGTGACGACCTCCCGTCCGACGTGGCGTCTACTTAATATTGGTGAGATAGAATCTGTCATTTTCTATCCCGATCTGATAGAAAATGACTTCTTATTGATGTGATTTTATCTATTAATTTGCAGAATGACGAGGCTTTAGGCAAAAGACGAAAATCAAAGCATATCATATTGTAGAATAACGCATTACGCATTAGATACATGGTAAGCACCTTTCGCCATTTCGGAGCATTTGGTATGTCTCACTTTAAGACGATAGTCTTAATATTTAGAAAGGCCGTATTTTCGCCTACCACTCTCAATATGACATTGATGAATGAGCCACCCTGAACTGCACAGTACACAACCCCAACACCTAGAGTTATAAACAATCCCCGCGCCCCACGGTATGATATATAGTCTGATAAAGAATATTTTCTTAACTTCCACGGAATATTCGGCTAACAGTTCATGGGTTCAGCACAGATTTAGACAGACAGTGACTGAACACATGGCACAAAGTCCACGAGTAACTACTTTGCACAGAGCTTGGTGCATCTGCCCTTAGGCATTCGTCAGTGTTCCCTAATGCGTCATTTTTTAATTTTTGTCGTGAAACCAAAACAAGCCATTAGCATTAGAATATCAATCGTCAACAGCAATAATCATTGTGTCGCCTCGATGATAGATGTTAATTCAAATACCTAGCAAGCACTCAATGCAAATTAATTAAGCAATTAATTTCCTTATTAGGTTTTATAGATGTGTATCAAATTTATATGTGTGGAGTTGATTCGATAAGTTTTTTTAAGGAAATAAACCACAAAAAATTAGTGCAAAGGCCTTGCAGATGCTCACCTGACTCGTGAGCTGTAAGTAATTGGGCACAAATCACGCGTTGCTTCTGATCTCTGTACTGCTTAAGTGGACCGTTTATGTGTTCTACGTGTTCAGTCGCTAATTACTTGAATCATCACTGAAGCTGCCACTGCGTAGATTTCACGTCATTACGCATAAAATGTTCAGTGATTCGAAATGTAAATCAGAGGCCGGTTAGTCAGAGTTAGAGTTAGCAGTCTTAAAACGTCTACGTAACTCCACTTACGAGAACTCCGAGCAAGCGTAGTGCTACGTACGGCTTCTTGTACGTAGCTGCCCGCGCAAATGTTTTGATTATACCACCGCTAGAGTTACGTTTTCATATCAGCACATACCCAACACGTATGTCGCTACGTGTACTTAGCGATGTTTTGATAATCCGGCCCCTGAATCAGTACCGAGCTCCGTACTTCGTATTTACTTCTGGACTGCATGCCAATTGTTCAGTCATTAGCAACCTAAATCTGCATCGACCCCCGTAGTGCTGATTAAGTTAGCCATGGGTTATGCGCATTTTGTTCAATCAGCAAGAACCTAAATCAGCACCGAATGCGTTCTTGTCGATTCAGGTTCTTAATCATTAATGAAATGGTATATATTCCTGAGCTAACTACCCAGCATTAACTTCGGTCCTAAGCTAATTTATCGTAGTTACCACTGGACCATGTGTCATGTATGCAATCATTAACAACCTAACTCAGCACCGATCTCCGTATTTCGTGATTGTGGATGGATATATGTAAATGAATAGAGGATTTTTTATTATGGTATAGTGTTGTATGAGATTTTGTTATATAGGAAATGGCTTAAGTAGTTTTTATTATGTTTCACATAATTAATTTATGTAAATCGCAATTTTAATTAATTCTTATCTATTCTATTTCGTTCGAAACGCAGAACTGATCTGGGTCCTTACTACCTAAAATTAATGAAGTACAGTAGCGACCAATTTCCCGCCTGCGATTGATTGGTTTAACATGAACAGCCTACTGTGAATGGCTGACGGAGTTACGAAATCATAACTTTTTGTAATGCGGGCCTTTGCATATAGCCTACACATGCTTTCATCCTAGACTGGCAGGTGCATTCCTATGGCCTCACTACTAGCGCCCACGTACTACTACTAGGTGCATGGCCTGGAATACAAGTAACTAATTTGTACAGAGCTTGGTGCATCTGCCCTTAGGCAGTCGTCAGTGTACCTAAATGCGTTGTTTTTTCAGTTTTTGTCATGAAGCCAAAAGAAGCAATATTATTTTTCTTGCTAGAATTTATAGATGTGTATCAAATTTATATATGTGGAATTGCTTCGATAAGTTTTTTTAGAAAATAAATCACAAAGGACGAGTGCAGAGGCCTAACAGACGTTCAAATGACTCGTGAGCTGTGAGTGATAGGGCACAAATGACGCGTTACCCTCTGAACCAGAGTACTGCTAAGTTGCCCGGTTATTCGTTCTACGTATTCAGTCACTATATGTTACTTGAATAATCACCGAAGCGGGTAAGCGTAGTTATCAGTGGAATCGACGCCTAGTGTAGAGTCACTAAGTATTTAAATAAAAGAAAAGTTATTACTGCGTTATTACTTCTAGACTTAATGCTAGGTGTTCATTGAACAAGTACTCACATCCGTACGCATCAACCAGCAAAATTTCTTGGTTAAATATAAATAATGTGCCCGCTGTTCAGTCGTTTGTGACCTATATCCGCATCGATCTCTTCATTTTGTATTGATCCCTGGACTACATGCCAAATATTCAGTCACCAGCAAACAAATTTTTCGCCGACACGCCTACTTCGTAGTTACCCACAGAATGTGTGAAATGTATTCAGTCACTAGCATCATTAATCAGAAGAGAAGCTACTACTTTGAAGTTACCTGTAGACTGGGTATGATGAGTAAAGTGAAAATGAACTGAAATACGTATCGACTGTGGAAATTCTAATTGCTCACGCACTAGCAGCCTTAATGAGCATCGAACCCTGTATTGCTAAGTTACCCTTGCGCTGTGTGTATTGTTTTCAGTCAGCAACAACGTAAATCAGCATCGATTTGTGCTTGTAGTTAATGTATTGATAGAAATTGTAAATTATTGTATAGTGTATTATAAGATATACTTGTGTAAGAAATGGCATGAAATATATGCACTTTCTTACACCCATGATTAAATTTTTCATTAAAGAAGTTCATTTTGGAATCTTAGCGAAAGCGGACAGTCTGGATATTTGTAAGAAAGCTTAGAATGAATCAGTTTCCATGGGTTTGCCGGTTGAATGTGCCACTGCCGCTGTCGCTGTGGTGTGAAGACTGAAGAGGTCATCGTGAGTAACGCTCTCGATACTTGTTTAAGCTTCAAGCGAATAGCGATTATTTCATTCAATTTAGGAAGATGGGAAGGGGTGGGAGACTGGGGTCTGGGAGTAGACATAGGAAAAAAAGAACATCTAGCCTATCATCTATGATCTGGGGCGACTGACGGTCTGAGATTGAAACTGCCCTTTCTGACTAAATTCTGAGTTGGTATCGATGTTCGATGCCAGGGAGTCTGGGAGCTAGGTATGATAATGAGGACTGAGCAGCCTGTCACGTTATAGTACCGTACTGAATTAGGAATTAGGAGGCATTGAGCGATTGAGGCAATGCAAATAGGCTATATTTGGGGACTCTCAAAACATCAACAAACCTGATGACTTCCCAAGCCTAGTGAGACTGAGATGCAGGCTTCTAGTTCTTGCTAATTGTAATCAGTTTGCTGTTGACAAAACAGTAAATAAGGAGTCTAAGGAGCAGTTACCTAAATTACATTGAAATGCTGGAATTCCTGGAAATGCAACATGATGATGGGATCAGGGCAAATTCTGACGTGTTTCTATCTTAGGTATTCTGATTTGCTGACACTGGGAGAGTGGAGACTTATCTGACTCTGAAATAATCCAAGTTTTTACCTGATATGTGATACCTGTGTGTGGCTGTGCTGTGGCCTGTGGGTAGGTACTAAGAGCTAAATCATTTGCTGCAAATTTGGTGATGACTGATGGGATGTGAAATCGTGAATCAGGTACAGCCTTACGGCTTACAAGCTTATTAATCACAAGCGTCAACCATAGTGGCAAAGCAGATAGCTTTTTAGACTCTCCCTCAAGTTCATTTTTGAGTCCTATAAGTAGACCAGTAAAGTATCTTGGATACCAGCCTTATCATACTTGAGAAATTTGCTTAAATCTTAAGTAAATGAGGAAATTAATAATGAACTGATTCTAAAAAAGCTCTGGTTTGCCACTATGGCGTCAACCAAGGCCAAGACGGCCCAAGAGGTATGATTTCCTTAGGTATTTCAGCAAAGAAAGCAGGATAAATTGTCCTCTGAGGGCTGAGGCTCTGACCTCTGACTGAGGCAGCGAGGCTCTGCCCAGTGGGCAGAGGTCCGAGCTGCTATCAGATAGGAAAATTTTGGTATTCAAAAATCAAAATGAGCTATATTTCACAGATTTCATTGACACCCTTGCATCAATATTTGGATATAACTTGAAGAATAAGGCAAAATTTTCTGACATATATGTTATAATGTTTGTCACCAGAGCTGTTCACAGTTCAAGTAATGCTTTTGATTTAGATTAACAGTCATGTTCTGTCGAATATAGGTACTGTCAAACAGGGGTAATAAGGGGGAGGCAGGGTGAATCAGGACAGTTGTCCCTCATTTGATAGGTTGTAGCAGCGCAACAGCAACTGATCAAAATTTTACAAACTTGAAGATAGTGGCTATATTTTTTTATCTTTGAATTTGTCTTGACAAGTAGGTATAACTTGCAATAATGCTGGCAACATTACGGTAGTGGTGTATAATTAAACTTGAATAAAATTAGAAAGTTTTCTAAATGTTAATTCCAAATCTTGCAGAGTTATGTAAACCTGAGTAATTTCCAATAATTAAAGCAGTAATGGAGGAACAAGGCTTCAACATTAAATACCTCATAATTGGAATATTATGCACACTTCAAAGTGTTGGAGTCTATGAACACTTTGTCAATATGGAGACCAACAACTGTCAAATGACCTACATGTATGAGATCCCTCAGTACATAGTGAGTAATACCACTTCTTTTTTTACTCCTATGATTAATTGTATGACTATTTTCTTCAAAATTAATGTACTCTAAAGCTATTAGAAATGTTTATGGAATTTGTGTTTTAATAAGATCTCTCTAACTTCAGCAATGAAATATTGACTTCATAGTTCTAGCTACTTGTATTATCTTATAAATTAAAGTGAAAGCTCCAATTTTAATTTTCAATCTGTTTTAATTATTTCACCAATAATCTCTATTTTCATTTGTGATTAGTGTTATTTTTTGTTGAGCTCTCATAGCAATTATGCCAATAGAAATGAACTGAAAACTTTGTCTTATAATTTTATAATGACTGAATCAAGGCATTATTGTTTGACAATGTAAATCTGATAATTATTCAATGCTATGTTTCGTGACATTCTGACCGAAAAAATTTTTGAAGTGAATGTTGTCTGTATTTTGCCAAGAAGGTGATGTAAAAAATGAAATTCAAGGAATCTAACCACCTGACTTTATGATTAATTTTTGCAGTCATCCTAAAAATGGGTTCATCTGGCTTTACTTGCAATTTTAATAAATTAAGCTTGCATTACTGATAATGAAACAGGTTGTGTAATTTCCCATGCTGCAATCATTTGCCTTATCTTGAATGGAATTGAGAAACTACAAGATCCATAAATATTTATCATTTATTTATTAATTTATGATTTTAAATTGTCATTCTTGTTTTGATATATAAAATGTATTAAATAAAAACAAATGGCTTGATTGTTTCCAGAGCATTGAGTTACCTGCTGAACTGTCCTCAAACTTCAGTCGCTTTGGCCTCTACGTCTATGGTGAAGGCCAACAAGCTGTGGCTTACGAGAAAGGTCGTTTTGATGGCCAGCCTGTACTCTACATCCCAGGCTCAGCAGGTTCCTACAAACAAGGTAGGAGCTGGTTCCTACATCCTGGTCTGCCATTGTTGTCTTATCAAATTTATGTGCATTATTTTTTGATGTTGAATTCAGTTCCTGAAGATTACACAACAGTAGTGCCTTTCTTAAGGAATTTTGTAATTTGTATCTTATTAGATACTGGTACTACTGAAAATTTTCATGAATTTTCGATTGTCTTGATTTTCCACTGAGACAGCAACCTGTAGCCAGTAATGTACTAAATTTCTTATAATTTTGTTCATCTCATGTTTCAGTTTATTATATTTGCTGAAATTTTCATCATGTATAGGCTATCTGGTTTTAATAAGAACTACCGTTATCACAATAATATGAATGAAACCCTGTAAATAGATTGTTATGGTCTCATTTATTTTGAGCCATCACTTGATGAGCTGCTGCATAAATTGTAGTTGTACATAACCCATATAAAAATGTTAACATTTAGGCAGTTTACAAGATGTGATCAAGTTGTTTGCTTCCATCTATCTCTTTTGTTGTCTTGGCATCCACACAAATCAAGGGAGCAAACATAAAAGAGTGGTAAAATAATATGAGCAAAGCAATAAGGGAAGTAAGAGGCATGAAAGGAAGTCTTGCTGGCTGCTTTCAATACAATAAGGGCAGTAAGAGGCATGAAAGGAAGTGTCTATGGCAGCTCTCAATACAATAAGGGCAGTAAGACTCATGAAAGGAAGTGTCTATGGCAGCTCTCTAAACAATAAGGGCAGTAAGAGAGATGAATGAAATTTTCTTTGGCAGCTCTCAATAGGAAATAAACGGACAGAAAAATAAAATATCAAGCAATAAATGTGTCTGAGAGGATCCACTACTAGAAAGAAGGTAGCACTGAAGGAGCACTTAGTCTGGCGCAAATGCTGCCACTGGGAGGGGTACCTGATGTTTGGCCTGACACTCAATTCTAATGTGTGAAAGTTTGTTCATGATGTTATTAAACACATGCTTGACTTGTTTTTTTTTTTTCAGTTCGGTCTGTGGCTTCTGTTGCCTACCGGAAATCCCTAGATGATGATGCAAAAGTTCATTTTGATTTCTTCACTGCTGATTTGTCAGAAGATTTTAGTGGATTCTATGGGCCTGTGCTCCAAGTAAGTTTTATCCTTGGCTCAAGAAAATGTAAAATTGAAGTGATATGGAGCTCATCAAGCTCAATAGTTAAATGATATAATTTCAAATCAACAAGGTTACTCTGCTGATGAAAATACAGTAATGAATTTATACTAGATGTTTTTTCATTGCATTTCTCCTAAGGACGTACGTTTTTATGAATGATTTTATTTTTTAGGAACAGACAGACTTCATTGCAGCTGTCATCCCCCTCATCCAGAAGCTCTACCTCAGCCCCAGACCCACCATCCTCATCGGACACTCGATGGTAAACAAAGTTTGATCTCTGTTCCCTTGACCAAGTTTAAATCCACAAATTTAGATGCAACTCATTGAGATCAAAATGATGTGGTATACATAAGGAGGTTGCTTGGGGTGCTGTAGTCAAGCACAATGTCTTGCCATGGGCAACCTGCTGTGCTGTGATGCTATGTTGCCAGAAACCCTAATGTAAAATGCATTTTACACATTTTGTAAAACACTGGAATTATAACTGAGCAAATATTATTAGATAAGTGGATCTAGGATAGGTACCTATATATGAGTGACCTAGCTAGCAAATTACTGTCATGCTTCAAATATTGTTGAAACGCCTGGTGTGCTTGAAAATATTTTTAAGAGATCCTTTAGTGCTTTAACTATTAATAAAGATGCTGCGATGGAAGAATATTGTTAAAGATACTGATGAGCTTGAAATCATTTTTGAAGATAATTTTGTGTTAAGAGTCATTGAAGATGCTGGTGTACATATGAATACTGCCTTATATCCCGACGTGCTCAAAATGTTGATAAAGATAGTGTAGTAATAGACATGACAACGACAGGGCGGTCTGGTGGCGCGCGGTGTGATGGCTCACGGGGTGACGGCGAGCTCCGTGCCTCTCATAGTGACGCTCGCCACGCCACATGTGTTCCCTTTCACACCCTTTGATGCTCACATTCAACAATACTATGAAAAGGTCTGCAGATGTATTGATATCACGTAAACTCATGTGTAATATTTTTAGTGTATTAAATCTGTACGGTATATCACTATTAACTCAACTCGTTTGTTATAATTGTACAGAATTAAATCTACTATATTACTAAAAGATTAACTCATTTGTCATAATGTAACTCAGTTAGATCTGCTCACAAATAGTATATTTAATAATGGTTAATTTGGTATGGTGCAAGCTTTTTCCGATTAGACTTCAAGGTAGGCACAATGTTCCAGAGGACTACTTGTTTTGCAAACAGCAATGGTTAACCCACTTTTTCATGAATCTTCCCTAACAAATTTGCATATTATTCATTTATGAGCATCAATTTATTTATACTCAATAGTTGTGTCCGCTCGTGGTCATCTTTATTCCACGCAAAAAGTTACTTCATGTGGTCCATCTAATAATAGGTGTGAAAAACTCATGAATTGTTGATAGTGAAGAGTCATTTCTTCACAGCCTCTTGTCTCATAATTATTGCACAAATTCGTTGGTACATCCCTATATAAATAATAAAATGCAAGTTATAAACATCCCGCTAGAATTTACGTAGCTTTATTACTGACGTGTTTGAGTTACCGATACTACCTATATTACATTGTAATTTATTGTTTTTATTGTAAATCATTGAGGCTAGGAGTTAAAATTGTTCTTTTATGAGTTGTATAAATTGCAATTAGGAGTTGTATCTGTTACCACAAATCATTGAATATACAAAATACTGAGGATAATAGCGCGTGTTGTTGGCAGGTGAACGTACACTGGGCGCTGGAGAAGGCCGGGGACGGGGAGCTGTCTGACGTGACCGTGGTCAGCGTCAGCGGGGGACGCAACGACGTCCTCGTCTCAACACTCAGCGCCGCCTCGCCCTTCTCCCACGTCACCTCCGTCGCCTCCGCCGTCAGTTGGTCAACTTGAAGTTCATAAGGCTTCATTATTTTCACCTGGTTGTTGTGTGTGAATGTGTTCATTTATTATTTCAACAAGAAAATGTTCTGACTTTTCCCTCATCTTCTCCGTTTTTTTTTAATTACCCATTTGGCTTCCATATCCATGTTAGTTGTAAAAATATATTAGCTTACCAAGAGGGTCGGGGAGATTTAAATGTCTTGCCTGCTTACGCTAACATCTAATCATTTCTATTGTTTCAGAGAAAGTCTATTTTCGTAATTGAGCTTTTTCTCTCGACATCCATCCTTTCCTTTTTTGCTTAAGAAATGAAACTATGAAACTAAACGAAGGAGTAGTCAAGACAGTTGTATGTATTCATTTTTTATTTCTATATGATAGTTTAGGCTAAAATTGAAAACATTTAGTACTAGGGATGAAGTTGATAAAAATTATCAACGGTGCTACTGCCCAGGTGCCTGGATGCTGGGCAACGACAGACCATCTGTCCATCGTGTGGTGCAAGCAGCTGGTGCTGGCGCTGGTGCGGGCGCTCTTCGACAGCTACGACGCCCGCAGCAGCGCCCTCTATGCTTCTAAGACCAGGATCACCGCTGTCTTCGAGTATCATCTGCTGACAGTTCGTGTCTTGCTTCTTATCGTTGTCAGTTGTCTTCACCTCAGTCTTGGGATATCATCTGCTGACAGTTCGTGTCTTGCTTCTTATCGTTGTCAGTTGTCTTCACCTCAGTCTTAGGATATCATCTGCTGACAGTTCGTGTCTTGCTTCTTATCGTTGTCAGTTGTCTTCACCTCAGTCTTAGGATATCATCTGCTGACAGTTCGTGTCTTGCTTCTTATCGTTGTCAGTTGTCTTCACCTCAGTCTTAGGATATCATCTGCTGACAGTTAGNGCTTTATTGTTTAAGTCCTCATCTCCTTCCTACCTGAAAGCTCTGTTACTTTTCCCTATCGTATCAGTGAGTCCTCGTATCTCTTTGTTTTGTTCATATTCACTATCATGTCAATAATTAATGGCTGCAATGTATCGTGTTGAAAACAAGGATTATTTCGAAATTATTACTTCAATGAATTTTAGATTTATTAAGTACTTTTTTGCTACTTCAGCGAATGTAAATCAGCACTCAAGCTTGTTACTGTTACCGTCAACCGACATTTATAAAGTTGCTAAGTTATGAATGATATTAATTTCAAGATAGTTTATTTTATTATGAGCGCTGTTAGGCGATCAATCCCGTTGAATGTACATGATATTAATTTAAAATTAGTTTGTTTGGGCTATGTTATGAGCTGGTCTTGCTGATTGGCCCTGATATTAATTCAAGTTTTTTTTATGGGTGCTGTTATTCAACAGGTCCCGCTTATGGGCCCAGGCAACAAGCAGCACACGGCGGTGGTCAGGGTGCGGGGCCTGGACGAGAAAGATTGGGTCTTTGCTTGTGCTGCGACTGAGATCAACGGAACCCTGGCCTGGTCTGTGACTCTTGTTTTGGAGTCACTTATGTATTTATTGTTTTGTTGGGGTCATCTCTTGTTATTACATACTTCACTGCCTTTTAGATTCATTCTAGAATTTAAGTCACGTATTTGATGGTAAATGATCACCGTGATTCGGTTCATATTTACGACTTACGTGCAGTATTACTCCGCCCCTCACATTGAGGGGTTGTTCCTGATTTATTTCCTACAAATTTTCATATCTAGTAATTTTCAGGTTTCCCTCAATGCATTTATTCTCATTATTAAGCCTGCTATTATATACACTAACTTAACCCACTTCCCCTGTGAATTTATGTCTTCTGGTGATGCCCGACGGCAAATTTTTCCTCACCTACGTGACCTCGAAACACACCTAAAAAGTATCTTGGCCCAACCAGAACACGGCCACTATAGTGTCGACCGAATCATAGAATACCTGAGGGTTTTAAATGTGTACGACAGTATATTACCATGCCAACATTGAATACATGCGATACCGTATACCCAATCTCAGTCCGTGATGCCCAGCGCGATATTTGACGCGTTGGGCGTTATTCCATTCGATCTGAAGCGCTAGCAATGAAGGCCACTAAAACGAACGAACGATATACGCTAACTCCTGAATCAACTCAGTTATAAATAGCTGTATTTTATTTTCTTGATTCTGATTATTGGGTAAACTAGGAAACTTGTTTGTCTTTTCAGTGAGATTGTTTGAAAAAACTGTTATTCGCTAGAATAATTGTGCACGTTATTAATTACTTTCAAGCTGATTTAATGTCTCTTAATTACTTGATCAACCGTGCCAAATTGAGAGATATTTACTCATTCTACTTAGTTTTAATGATCACACTAAATTCACTTTAGAGTCCTTTTAAAAAGACCAAACTTTAATGGACTTGCTAAAAAATACCATAAAATTTTTGTCCCGTTAGGTCTGGCTTCCCTTCGCTATTTATTCTATCTTCCCATTAGAGTCTTATGACGAACTTGTCTCTGAATGGCGCGTATTTGTGCAGTACGTCGGGCATGAACCTGTCGAAGCGCGGGCGCCTGCTGGGGGGCGACTCAGACGCGTCCAGGGCCAAGGTGGTCGAGGCGCTCCTGCCGGCGCTGGTACACGAGGGCTACTCGCACCTCGGTGTCAGCGTGCCTCCTTCTGAGCATCCGGTGGGTGGTGGTGCCCACGGGGTGTATGGTGGGCGGTGGTGCCCTACGAGAGGCGTGTGGTGAGTGATGGTGCTCCACGCGTTGTGCATGGTGGGTGGTAGTGCTATACGTGGGGCGTGTGGTGGGTGATGGTGCTATTTGCAGGGTGTGTGATTGGTGGTGTGCTATACGTGGGTGATGTTGTCCACGTGCTCAAGGTCTGAGCCGCTTATGTCGCGACACGCGTCCTGTATGACGCGTCTATCCAGGACAGTTGATGTCATGAAGTATGGCCGTGCCCTCAGGTGACGGTGAGTGTGGACGTACACGGCGAGGGCGAGCGGCGCGTGGCTGTGGCGACGCCTCGCCTCGTGTCCTCCTTCAAGCCCACCACCGTCCTCCAGTCCACCGCCACCCGCGCCCTCGTCACTGAGGTCGTCCTAGAGGTGAGCACTTCGTGGGCATGAGTTTGCTCTTTGGGGCACACCTCGGAGCATCAATTGTCCTTGAGGTTGTTTGATTAATTAATTTTCCTGAGGGTGATAACTTGTCAAGTGTAAGTGTTTGAACATTTCATGCAGTAGTTGTTTTTATTTATCATTGATTTAATCGAGCATGTGTGTTGTTCGTTTTTTTTTTATCTTTCAAGGACAGTAATAATATCAAGTTGTGGAGAGAGATCGATTTTTCAGGGTGCATTCAAGTTTTCCCAGGTGATGCCTTAATACTTTCTTGGTTGCAGGGCCTCAATGAGCCCTGGCACTCGTACGACCTGTCGGTGCTGCCCAGCTCCACCTGCCCAGTCAATGCTCCGTCTGGGCCTCCGCCCCCTCAGCTCTGGGTCTCCTCCTACACCTCCAGCGCCATCGCTCTCGCCCCTCACAGGTGAGTGCCGTACCTAGGGTCTTAAGGATTTCTGTTTGTTGAGTTGCCTAATCTCATTTACTTCGATCATCAGCGATAAGCCCACAGTCGATAGTTTGCCGTGCATCTGTAAAGATTGTTTAGGGAAACTCGACGGTCAAATCATCGAGTGGGCGGATCTTCCGCGTTATGACATAACCCGCAATAATCGACTTCGTTGCCCACAATGCTGCTTGACTGGGTTTTGTATTAAGCCTAACACATTGTTTTTGTATCATAAGTGTTGTTCGTTTATTTTTTGCTGAATACCCGGACTATGTTATTTTCAATCATAAGTCCTTACGGTCTTGTGTTGCAGGATATCGGGCAAGAGTACGTCTATCGTTTGGAACAGGACGAGATCGCCCTCCTGCCGTCAGGTCCTGACGGTGACTCGGCAGCTCCTGAGCGAGGTGACCTGACTGTGCAGCTGTTGCTGGAGCCGCGCTGCCATCTGTGTGAGGACCAGTCTGCAGGGCACCTTCAGGCGGCTTTTCCCTGTACAGCGGCCAGATGCCCGCCTTCATTGTCTGTCATATGCTGCTAGCTTTAGCCATGCAATGAAGAGCGTTAGTGACAAGCGATATTGTCCGTCTGTGATGACGAGCCTGCTCGCCTTGTCGCCCATGCTTGTGGTGCCTTTCGTCAAACTTTCATTCGCGGCTCTCAAGAAGCTCGAGATTTTCAACGACCAGCAGATGCTTTCAGAATCTGGAATGAACTTGGGGTTATTGCCTATTGCCTTGGCATGGATGCCGTTAACGTTGTTGCTTTCGGGTGGTGTGTGGGTAGGTATCTTGGCAGCTGGTAACGCGTTATACTCAACTGTCGTCAGAATATTTTGAGGAAGATTTGGGGCTGACGAGGTGGTGGTGGACATCGCCCTAACTGGGCTCTCTAAGGTGCCCGCTGTAGTGGCCGTGGCTTTGCTTGCTGTCGCCTTCAGCACATGCGGGGCTCTAGCTTTATCTCTGGCATCTCTTTATTACTTCAATAACCTCTTTGACATGTACAAAGATTATCTGCGTATAAGGTCATACTCAGAATGATTCCTCGCTTGCAAGATGAAACTCATCCTCATCCTCCTCCTGCCGTACCTGCTTCAGCTCCTGCCAGCAGCGGTGATGCTTGTACAACCAGCCAAGACACTCCTTCCACTGCCGACGCTCCGACTCCGGCAGCTGATGCCTCACAAGATAGCGTAAAAATCACACGGAAATCTGCCCCACAGTCAGCAGAAAGCTTGGAATGCAGCTGCGCATGACGCTGCTGCTGTGCGTCATGGCGAGTCTGTTGCAGCTGCCAAGTCTCATCACGTGGGCCATGCGCATCAAACAGGGACACGCTCTCTCTGCCGTGGACCCATCGCTGCCTCCCAGCGTCGCCTGCCTCGTGTCGCTCGCTGTGCTGTGGCAGTGCTCGCCTGTCCATGAGCGTCAGTTCTACAAAGCTCTAGGTCATGACGTCCATTTCTTTACCGTTTTGTTGCTGCTCTTTGCCGCCATCAGCTTCTACAAACTGCCGTACTTCATAGCAGCGCTGGGACTGGTCGCCCTACATCAGCTCTTTGCACCGCCCAAGGCCATAAATGATGAAATCAAGACACAATAGAATCATGTTTTACGGATTAATGTTGCTGGGCATTTTTTCAGTGTGCGTTTTCTGCTCCTTTTGGGAGACGTTGATGTATTTGGTCTTGAATCAAATGTCGAGTATTTATGCCTTTCTGTCCACCTTATCTTGTTTATTTGTAAAAGTATGCACGTGCTATTGGATATATTTGTTGACATGGTGACCATACCATGTCTTCGAAACTCGAATTTGAGCATTATCGTTCAATTTCCGAATTTTTGTTATATTGGTAATTGATGTTAATTACCTAGGTTTTATTCCCGGAAAAATGTCGAGTCAATTAAACTGTGATTGATATTCCAGTTACAGGTTGGATTTCAGTGAGAATGAGAAATAATAGACAACTGATATTTCGGGATGTTATTTCTTGAACCTTTTTTACCTATTAATGTAGCGTCAGCCTCGGTGGCATTCTCAAAGAAGTATCTCTAGACGTGACCTTCACTTTGGTCTCCGAAATTATTATTTCTAAAACCTACAATCCTATCTTGACTTTCAGAGTGTTTTTTTTACACGCCTAAAAAGTAAATTAATTTCAGCGAATGTGTTACCTTTGATAGCAACTGTTATGATGTGGCTTAATGTGCCTACCGACCACTGATTAATTTCTACTGGCATGTTCACCCAATCCACTTCTTGTCCTTATACGGGCATGGCCCGTAAGGACAGCTGTCACTGGACAGAAACCACGATCAAACACTGGACACCACGACCATTTCCACAGCAGCTGTCTGTCACTGGACAGAAAATGGTCGTGGTGAAGTAGAGTTTAGTTTCCCCAACATTATCACACGAGAGTAGTTGAAACCTCATCTTGTCTCGAAATTAGCAACATTCGTTTCATCACGAAGTGAAAGGTGTTTTGTTGGCTGCAGTGCTGAAGTAAATATCTCCAAGTCATATCTTTACATTTATCTGAAGTTCGTATGTAAATTGCTTGACTCAGGCTGTGTCCACGTGTATGCCGATACACTTGAACTAAGCGATTAGATAAGGCAGTATTTCCAATGTATTGTAGAATTTAATTAGTCTGTTCTGATGGAGTATTGGTTGCTTCTCTTTTTAGCCGTCTTCAGGTTGTGTAGTTCTTACATACGCTTTAAGAAAATGTTATACTGGTACGATGCACTAAAGTTTGTAGCCATGATGTGGAATCAAGAGTGCTGCAATTACCGATGCAAATTAAATTCTAGAAATTGAATGTGTGGCTTCAATTCGCATGCCGGTGAATTTATTTACCCTGCTCCCCGATGCTGAGCATGATATGCAAAATCATATGTTGAGGCAACGGCAAATTTCATGTTCTCAGAAGCAGTGTATTGAAGCCGCCTTTGTGATCCACACGCAATCGTCCAGTACTTATAGTTTTGAAAATAGTTTTCCATACTAGATGCTCAACCAGAGATATATGCGAACTATTGCACAAAAAAAAAATTAGTTATTAGGACTACATGCGAAATTTAAATATTGAATTTCTGATAACATGAATTTTATAGAATTTTTTATGAATATTTTTGTTCTGTAAAGATTTACAGTCTCGTTTGGATTAAAATGTTTATTTAATTAATTATTTCAGAACAAGTAAAATAGGCTGGAAGCAGCAACGGCGCTTTCAGTTATGGCCAATATGCTTTGTAAGGTTTTTATTTATTTATCCTCCTGGTAGCAGCAACGATGAAGTGAAATTTGGTAAGCAATAGCGTTGAAGTAAAATAAGGTTGGCTTGCTCTGAGCGTGACTAAGTTTAAAGGGCTCCAGATGTGGTCTCCTAGTCGCTGCGACGTAGCCGTGATGCCGTGGACAACGTAGACGTTACGTATTAGAAATAACGTAGCACGGAGGAAAGGCTCGTCAACAGCACTGGACCCGAAACTTGAGGAACGTAGATACCAGAAAGGCATGAGCATAATATTGGTCAGGTTCATACTAGATTTGACAGTGAAATTAATAAACAGGAATTTCAGCAATAAAGATTAAATTTAAAATCTTTCAACTGACGTGAGATTTTTAATGCCCAGTGTTACGACTTCATGAATGTATGAGTTTGAGAAATACTTAATGAATTATGAGGATGATGCTTCTGGAGACCCTGATTAGTTGGCACAAAACTGTAGTTGGTAGGTATCATAGAGTGACGACCACCGCTCGGAACAACTAGATGAATCTAGAAAATCTGAACAGCTTGTTCGCACAGTTTCGAACAATGACTTTCCGCACAAGCTGGGCAAAAGGCAACCTCACTGCGTCGGAAATGAATAATTCGAGATTACCTTTATTATTATGGAAGATTGTTAGGAAATAATGTCTAGCTTCGAGATTGAAGAAATAATAGGTGAGAAATTTATAATTTCTCACAGTTCTTGAGTGGGATGCATTACTGAAGAATGATAATTCGCAAATACTCATAAAATTAGGGATAAGTGACAGCTAGAGTTGTTAAAAAATGAATTTTAGAATTCAATTGAGTACTTATTTCGTACCAATTTGTTGTGCATCAAATAATCTTATTCTTTGTGATGTGTTAGCTAGACATTTTCCTTCTTGGTCTTCGATCGTGCAAAATGTTAACTCGCTTGTCGTGTCGCTTGTTGGTAGTCTTTCATTGACAGTAACAACAAGTGTGCAGAACCATCAAGCTTTTCATTCACCTCCAATCTGTAAAATTAATTCAGACAACGGCAGCAAATTGTTAAGAAAACTCCAATCAGCCGGTGTTGTATCCTCATAATTAGATGTTTATTTGCACAATTACAATGAAAATCACTTGTACGCGTCAACCAAAATTTTTATTTCACACGCGAAATCAAGTTAAATGTAGCAGTGGAGTTTTTAGTGAGCGATAATTTCAATGTTTCGCCAAATCCTCAAGCGTAAATAACACGTAAGTGATTAGAATGATGCCTTGCTCACCTAACTCGAGCAGGAAATCCCACAATCGTACCTAGGCTTTGTGAGCTATAAACTATTCTTCAATTATTATCTCAAGTTATTTTTATTCCGAGCTAGAAAATTAACGCCGAGTCTAGCTAAATTGGAATTCAATCACTTCTCTAAAGAATTTTATTCCCTTAAAAAATATTTTATTCCGTCTAAAGCCCGTTTCAATAGAGCCACAAGCTGCTATTGTTGCTACACGAGGAGCGGCACAAGGAGCATGTACTATTACACATGGCTACACACATGTCACTGCTTATAGTAGCCATCATACGAAACATGATCATGAAGCAGCTGCAAGATTTGCTCAGCATATCTACGGAGCTGTTGCCTTAATATGGTTCCTAACTTCATGCAGCAGCTGCAGGATTTGGTCGGTGGTATTCTGCACGCGCTCTTGACGTTGAGCAGCAATACTGTTCAGGCAGTGATTCCTGCAAGAGGTTGAGTTCTTCAATTTCGCTGCTTAGCTAACAGAAATAAAAATAAGTGATACTTTAAAAAGCCTCGGTTTGCACATCGAGATATTGAAATTTTGCATGCAATATAGTAATTATATATATGTAATATAGTAATTATAGAAGTGTTTCAGCTTTTGTCTGGCCGTAAGCCTGTCGCTTATTCTTAACATCCAGAAAATTCATAGCTTGTTGCGGTCTCAAACAAGCAACTCGCTGCTCCAATTCGGCTTTGCTTAACCGCCCAGCCTCCCCGCAGGTTCTGACCAGGAACTGCTGGTGCACTGAGCTGGGATCGAACCCGCACTTTTACTTCAAACCTAGTACACTGAAATGCAAGCACTAGGTCACCCTGACACCCATGAATTTTTCCTGTTAGAATAGCTTCATACTTTTATAATTTTATAAAGCTATGTTGCCATCAACTCCAATAATCGTAGTCGTCATGTCTATAGAAAATCGAATTGCCTGTATTCTAGCAGCTGACCTGATTACTTCAGCCGTGCTGTTGTCCAGTTTACACTGCTGGTCCCCGTAAATAATACTTTCATTCTTGGGCCACTTGTTGATCTTGACGAGAAGCCGCCGCTGTTTGCTGCCGAGTAGCTGCAGGTGCGGCAGGAAGCGTTGTAGGAAACGCACCTGACGATAAAAATTCTCGAATAAAAGTCTGAAACAACAATCAACAAAGAGTTGGTGAGAATATCTACGACAACTCAATACAGGCTTGCTTAAACACATACATTTGAAGATTATCATAAATAGTCATAATAAATTGACGGTAGTGTAAAATATCATTGATATCGTCCCATTTATTATTGCTTGATTGGGCCACCATCGCTACGGAGAGACAGGGTGTTGCGTCTGCCTCCTGCAGCGGTAGGCACACCGACCAAGCATTGCAGGGTTCATCTTGGTGTTTGCTACGATAGCTAGGTATATTAGAAGCGGCATTAGTAACCTTAATCAATACAGCATAAACGAAAATTTTTTTATGTTAATTCCTCTTGTAAAAAAATTGTGTTAGTCAACACGCGTGTTATGTTGTTGGCTGGTGAAATGCGTGTTGACGATGTACAGAAGTGTCATTCGTACAGAAGTGTCATTCATTTGAAGCTTGACTGCACGGTATTACATGGTCCAGTGTCACCATGATGAACCGCTGCTCGTTGAGGTACACGAACTGTAGTCTCACCTTGATGAACTGCTGCTCGTTGAGGTACACGAACTGCAGTCTCTTATACACATCTAGATGTGTATAAGAGACAGGTGTGGTGGTGCCTTATGTGGGGCGTGTGGTGGTGCCTTATGCGGGGCGTGTGGTGGTGCCTTATGCGGGGCGTGTGGTGGTGCCTTATGCGGGGCGTGTTGTGGTTGGTGATGCTATACGTGGAGCGTGTTGTGGGTGGTGGTGCTATACGTGGAGCCTGTTGTGGGTGGTGGTGTTATATGTGGAGCGTGTTGTGGATGGTGGTGCTATACGTGGAGCGTGTTGTGGGTGGTGGTGCTATACGTGGAGCGTGTTGTGGGTGGTGGTGCTATACGTGGAGCGTGTTGTGGGTGGTGCTATACGAGGAGCGTGTTGTGTGTGGTGGTGCTTTATGAGGAGCGTGATGTGGGTGGCGCTATACGAGGAGCGTGTTGTGAGTGGTGGTGCTATACGAGGAGCGTGTTGTGAGTGGTGGTGCTATACGTGGAGCGTGTTGTGAGTGGTGGTGCTATACGTGGAGCGTGTTGTGAGTGGTAGTGCTATACGTGGAGCGTGTTGTGGATGGCGGCGTCCACGTGCTCAAGGTCTAAGCCACTCATTATGTCACGACTTGCGGGATGTGACGTGTCGATACAGGACAGTTGATGTCATGAAGTATGGCCATGCCACAGGTGACTGTGAGTGTGGACGTGCACGGCGAGGGCGAGCGACGCGTGACTGTGGCGACGCCTCGTCTCGTGTCCTCCTTCAAACCCACCACCGTCCTTCAGTCCACCGCCACCCGCGCCCTCCTCACTGAGGTCGTCCTAGAGGTGAGCACTTCGTGGGCATGAGTTGCCCTTCGGGGTACACCTCGGAGCATCAATTATCCTTGAGGTTGTTGCTCCGTGAGCATTAATTTCCCTGAGGGTGATAACTCGAGTGTTGAAAATTTTCATGCAATAGTTGTTTTATTTATTGATTTAGTCGGGCAAGTGTATTGTTCTCTTTTTTTTCTTTTCATGTCAGTAGTAATATCAAGTTGTGGAGATAGAACAATTTTTCAGGGTGCATTCAAGCTGTCCCATGTGAGGCCTGAATAATTTCTTGGTTGCAGGGCCTCAATGAGCCCTGGCACTCGTACGACCTGTCGGTGCTGCCCAGCTCCACATGCCCAGTCTCCGCCCCCTTAGCTCTGGGTCTCCTCCTACACCTCCAGCGCCATCGCTCTCGCCTCTCACAGGTGAGTGCCGTACGTAGGGTCTTCAGGATTGTTAGCACCCACATGCACCCTTATGAGCAGTCACATGCGCCCTTAAGAGCAGTCACATGCACCCTTATGAGCCTGTCTCTTATACACATCTAGATGTGTNGTCTGTTGCAGCTGCCAAGTCTCATCACGTGGGCCATGCGCATCAAACAGGGACACGCTCTCTCTGCCGTGGACCCATCGCTACCTCCCAGCGTCGCCTGCCTCGTGTCGCTCGCTGTGCTGTGGCAGTGCTCACCTGTGCATGAGCGTCTGTTCTACAAAGCCCTTGGTCATCTCATCCACTTCCTTGCCGTTTTGGTGCTGCTCTTCGCCGCCATCAGCTTCTACAAACTGCCGTACTTCATCGCTGCAGCGCTGGGACTGGTCGCCCTACATCAGCTCTTCGCACCGGCCAAGGCCATCGATGATAAAATCAAGACACAATAGAATCATGTTCTACGGATGAATGTTGGGCATTTTTTCAGTGTGTTTTTTTCCGTTCAATTCGTGAGACATTGATACATTTGGTCTCAAATGAAATTTCAGTTATGTATGCCTCACTGTCTACCTTATTTTGTTGATTTCTAGAAGTCTGCACGTGGTATTGGATAGATTTGTTGACATGGTGACCATACCATGTCGTCGAAACGGGAATTTGGGCTTTATTGTACAATTTTCGGATTTTTGTTATATTGTTGATTTATGAAAATTGTATAAGTTTTATTCTGGGAAAAATGTCGAGTCAGTTAGACTGTGATTAACATTCCAGTTACGGGTTAGATTTCAGTTAGAACGAGAAATGACAGACAACTGATTTTTCGGTCGGTTATTTTTCGTTTCATTTTTATTAGATAATGTAGCGTCAGCCGTGGTGGCATTTTCAAAGAAGCATCTGTAGACGTGGCATTCACTTTGGTCTCTAAAATTATGCCTTCTTAAACCTACAATTCCATCTTGAATTTCCGAGTGTTTTTACACGCTTAAAATGTAAATAAATTTCAGTGAATGCGTTACATATGATAGCAACTGTTTTGAAGTGGCTTAGCGGGCCCATCGTCCACTGATTAATTTCTACTGACATGTTCACCCAATCCACTTCTTGTCCTAGAGGAAACCTAGCATTCCTGAGTTTCTGCATTTATTATTTATATTATAGTAAACTTAGTACCTACTTCTTATACGACATGCATAGGGAATCGGATGTTTCTGACTCTTGTTCCTGTCATGTATTCTGAGCTGACGTATAATTTTAACTCGCGACCTATTATCCTTTACCTGCTTCTAAATTTATATTCAGGAAATGTTGACTTTATGTTAAACTTGATACAAAACATTTGATTGTCTTATGCGAAAATATTTTCATGGGAAGGAAGCAGTTGTCTCGGTTGCGTGAGTTTAAAGACGCAAAGTTGGTGCACTTTAAGATTGTTGCCATATTTTGATTTCCATTGTTGACCTCCCGCAGATTTATTTGTTGCATTAGTGCCCCCGTACGCTTGATTTATACTTGGCCCTGAGGGTACGTGGGGTACGGGCAGCTTTGTAGTGATACCTATGTCCTTAAAATCATCAAGTGCAGGTGAGAAACGTAACTTCTTTACAGCGAGTTGCGGCATTCAAGGAATAATAGATTCTCAAATGATACTTTATTACACTCATTGATGAAAATAATTTATGGTTTTTCTAATTTTCTATGATTAATTTTATCGTAATTTATTCTGGGTGAAGTATTTCCTGATTCTCTGATTGATGCCACGTTAGCCAAACCACTTTTGTTTATCCTGTTAATTTCTCACGTTAAATTTTATAAAGCAATTCTGAATAGAACATTCCTTCTCTGATTCCTGGATCGAGTATAGGCCGCATTGCATTTAGTATTGAAAAAATTCCTATACAAATTCGTATTAATATTTTTATGTTTTTATTTTATTCTAAGTGTACAGAGAAACATTTGGCGTTTTTATGATAGTTTTATCCTACCATTTCTGTTGATGATCATTATTAAATATTGGCAACTGAGGCATAGTGCGTCTGTATATTGCAAACAATTCCCACGGTCATTTAACTTGCATTTATAAATACTTGCTTCTTCCTTCGCTGAAGCTGGAATAGCGTGGCTGGAACCCTTTACTAGCTATGGGCTCAGCTCTTACGAAGAATTTTAAATGTTCTTTACCACTGAATTGAGTTTCGTTATTCAGTATGAATTGATTTGCGTGATGCATTGGCAGCTCAGCCGTGGGGTTAACATATCTTAGTTGTCTCTGATTAATTGTTGTAATTGACATTGCGTTGAACGTGGCTCCTTCGAGAAAAATCAAAAATAATTATCACATTAGTTCAGTCTGCAACAAGATTTGTGTTCTTTGTGTTAAAGCAATTTATGTCTACTACTTTGGACATATTATTTTTTAGCTAATTGCTTAAAAATGTTATACTTCGAGTCGCTCTAAAGTGATGTCGTGATTGGAGCAGCTGTCTGTCACTGGACAGAAAATATTCGTAGTGAAGCAGAGTTCCGTTTACCCGACCTTATCACATACGAGTATTTGAATTTTATCTCAAAATTAAGAATCTTCGTTTCATCACTGAGTGAAAGGTGTTTTGTTAGCTGCAGTGTTGAAGTATATATCTCCAAGTCATTGACATAAGATTATATCACTATTATATCTTTTTATTTCTCTTATTTATCTGAAGTTCGTTTGTAAATTGCTTGATCCAGGCTCTGTGTCCACGTGTTAACCGATGCACGTGAACTGAGCATAGGTACCCCTCAGGGGGGACTTCTGACGGGTGTCTGTGCTCGTCAGAAGTCCTATGGGATTTCGCGTTCCTAGGGGGATTGTTCCTGAGCGCCCCACCGTTGAGCTCGCGGTGTCTGACTGTAGGTCTCAGTTGAAGGTCACGAGGGCTACCTATATACGAAATGGAAATATTGAATTTATGATGATATAAATTTTTCAGAAAGCGTTTTTTTCTGAATATTTTTGTTCTTAAACGGGATGCATTGCTGAATAATGAGTTCACAACTACTCGTAGAACGAGAAGTAAGAGACAGAGTTTTTAGAGAGAGAATTTAATTGAGTAGGTTACTCATTTTGTACGAATTTGTTGTGCATGAAGTAAATCTGTTCTGTGTGATGTATTAGCTACACATTTTCCTTGTTTTTCTTTGATCGCACTAAATATTAAATCTCTCATCATGTCGTTTGTTGCCAGTATGGGCTTGGTGGCAACATGTGTACAGAATCTTTATAAAAATATTTTAAATAATTACGAGGAAACGATACACTCCAGCGTGAATTCATGCAGGTAAATTGATTAATTAATTGACCCTTGAGTGCAGAAGTGCTAGTCCACTTTATTTAGAAGAAACTTCCCATAAATTACATGTTTAACTGGCAGGAATTGCTCTTTAATTTATCTATTAAACTTATCTAATGCAATGCAAGCTAATTCATAGTTAGAAAGTTATGTATTTTATCGCGATCGGTGATGTAATCAGATGTAAGTATACGCATTACAACTACTGTACTACGAGTTCCAATTTATGCAAACGTAATCCCCCTTTAGCATTCGTTAGATCATAGAAAATTTATTCGAAGTGAATCCGATGAGACGCCCCGAAATTATTTATTTTGCATGACACGACTTTACAAAGTGATACTATCCAAGCTGCAGGAAGCGCAAAATGTTTTTAAACAATGCCTAAACACATAAAAATATCTCAAGGACAGCAAAAAAAACACGTGCAGAGTCAAGTTAGCCGCGTTTTCATTATGTACTTACTACGATCTATGATATTATATCCGGGGTTGGTGACGTGGGCGAAATCGGCCCCAGTGGGTTGGGAAAATCAAATATATATTTTTTTTGGGGGTAGAATTAAAATATTAAATTCCAATCTGCGAAACAAGATGAAAAATAATTAAATTTAAATATGTATTGAAGTTTTAATGGGGAAAGACTCTAAATAAACTTAAAATCGCTTCCGTGAAGTATACGATCAGTACAACAGCGCATCGAAAAAATGTCTTTTGATGTTGAACGAACTGAAGTTATGCGACAGATGACCTATTTTTTTAAGCTTGACAGAATTATTTGAACGTCAAAATTCCGTTTTGTAATATTCTTACAGTTTCAACTAGCGTTACCCCAGCTATGAGAGGTCGTCACAGATGTTTTTCAGTCTTAGGAAAATGTGTCTACAGTGTTTGTTCAGCGAGTTTTACAAAGACCGTATTAGAAGCTGAGTGGAGCACGGCGTAAAGCTTATAAGTATGCATCATATCTGTCGATCAAATTAAGACCCATCCGCTGAATTGCCCTCCTTTTTACAAACCTTCTGAATAAGAAGAAACGATTCACCAATTGCTTATGGTCAATGAAGTGAGATGGTTATCAAGAGACGATAGCTTGCGGATGTTGAATTAGAATAGAAGTGTCGGCACTGAAGAAATAGGCCCATGGCCTGTTGCCGATTCTTGTTCATAGAATATAATAGAAGTGTCGGCACTGAAGAAATAGGCCCATGGCCTGTTGCCGATTCTTGAATTTTTCGTGACTTGATTCACAAGGGATCCGGCCTTTGGAACCCGATCTTTCCATAAATGTAGCACAAACAATTATATATAATTATCAAACGCATCCAAGAAAAATAAAAATTGCGTTATTTAAATGTTACCTAGCAAGTAAACAGTTCTAATATTTTTCAAAACTCTGAATGCTGAATGAGCCTTAGAGGTTTTCAGTCAATGATTTGTAGATACAATCGTAACATATGACTTAATTAAAAGTTTCGCTTGGAAGGTACCATATACACGAGTCCGTTCCCGAATGGCTCGTATCTTCATTAGTTACGAAACCGGACCATGCAAGGGAAGTAGTGAATCTGACTTAGGAGATGAACTTGTCGAAATTTACGTAGATCTGGAAGCTCAAGCCTTGTTTGTTCGTGAAACCCTTATTGAATATTGATCCGTGTCATTACTGAAACTAAATATTCTGAGCTCAAACGTACATGCAAATATCATGTCAAAGTGGACTGGGTCACTGGGATATGTCGCCAGTTCCTTTTTTATAAGCGTTTGAAAATGCTCCATACCTTAACCAACACATTTGTAGAAAATATGTTATAGCTATTTTTTTCGAGATTCTCTTTTGTATTTCAAACAGCAGTACCGAAGTGGGATTAGGTTCACAACTGCAATATGAAACCACCCCTTCTAGTCAACCGGATTAACCTTTATCTACTCCTTTCTGTGATAATTAAATATGCCCACATTTGTGGTTTTGTTCAAATAAAAGAGCTTTACCGCCATCACTAGGCCACAGTTTTGGATCGCATTAAGTTAATTTTATATGTTCTTCTGTGCTGTAGTTGCTTTAGATAAAAAACTGCGTTGTAACACATCCACGCGACAACATTTCTTCTCGCATCGAATCACCGACATGTGGAACAGCCTTCCTGATGACATCGTTGGCGCTCAAAGTATGAACGCGTTCTAGAACAGACTAGATAAAGCTATGGAAAAATATATGTTCAGATTTGAAATGCCTAGCACCATATCGAACCCGGTGTAAGTCTAGGAGCTATTTCAAACTATCATCAGTTTGGAAAAGATCCGGTCGAAGGACCTGTTTTTAGATAATTGATAATTAAAAATTTTCATCCCTGACGTAAACATGTTCTGAAAGTATTATTTAGTAAACACTTACGATTTATCTTGAAAACTCTTCTTCGACTTTTTTCTTTTGTCCAGGATTTTTTAATTTTCTCTGTAAATGTATTCTTGAGCCTATAATCATGTACAGCAGGCCATTGAAGAGGTAGTTGATGCAGCTTTGACCATTTGAAATGTCGAGCCATAAGTTCGTTTTTTTTTAAGTTCGTTACGCCACACACAAGAGCCGAAGTGTCGTACATTTTAACAAAGAACTAGCCGGAACAGCGGTGAAATCATTCAGGCACACCCAGAAATTTTTAGGAAGTTTTTCCGGCCTTATAACTATAGAAAAAATTTCTGAACAGAATATTGCGCAAAAGTTGAGCGAGAATTTTTTTTTTTTTTTTTGCAGCCAAAATCTTTAAATAAAGAACAATGTTAGGTCAGAAACGCCTCACACAATTCTGATTTGCTACTTTTATACAGAAGAAGATGTTCGTGACACAGTTCAAAGTGCGTCAGTTGGGAGGTGAGCAGCAGGGACGGCGTCTGGGAGGTGAGCAGCAGGGACGGCGTCTGGGAGGTGAGCAGCAGGGACGGCGTCTGGGAGGTGAGCAGCAGGGACGGCGTCTGGGAGGTGAGCGCATTTGACGACCAGCGAAGCCAGACTTGAGCTTCGCTGCAAGTAATAAAACCTACGGAACCGTGAATGAAATTTGAGATCTTATGACGATATAAAATGCGAGCTTATGCAATCTTTCTTCTGACCGTGGCGACATTAGATTACAGATGATTATAACATGACGAATAATTTGTAAATTTTGCAGCATAAATTGCAATTTGCTCTAGCTATTTTCGTTCCCAATTTTATTGACGAATAACTTAAGACGGATTCAAATTAAAATTCATATCGACAAATTTCATTTTAAACTTGTTCAAAAAATTTCTCTTGCACGATATGGTTATGAATAGTTTTAATTAATTAAACAAATTCAGTTTTTGTTTCTGATTTTGTAGGAAGAACTTTTGAAATATATAGTTAAAGTTTCATATAAATATTTATGCGGGACTGGAATTTGAATACGTACGATTGGGAGTGGTGCCCACGACGGGCCCCAGCTTGAAAAAATATTCCCGAGAATTGGATTGCGTCATGTCTAATGACGATAATTTGATATAATGGTTTTGGGAATAACGAGTATTGATATAACAGGGTAAATAATAGCGGGAATTGATATAGCGGAATTCAAGATAACTGGCTTTGAGGTATCGGAATTCAGGATAACGGGCTTTGACGTAAAATAATTCAGGAAAGCGGGCTTTGATGTAAAGGAAATTCAAGAAAACGGGCTTTGATGTAATGGAATTCAGGAAAATGGGCTTTGACTATAAGGATTTGACTGGATTCAGGATAATATAATCTTATAATCTCAGGAATTATTCCTCCCGGCAATGACGGGTTTATGGAATACCCCCATTATTAACGATGTCAACGCAAAAAATTACCTTATCTAAAAGTTCGATCGATTCTGTGACTCCAGTCACAGAATTTGCATTTGGTACAATGATGCACTAAAATAGTCTTGATAACTTATATGATGCGTTCGATACAATGATGTGCTACAATAGTCTTGATTACTTATAGGATTCAATTGATACAATGATACGATCAAATACTGCTCATATATTGAATGTAGGCACACAAAGCCTCTCTCATTCATGCGCTAAAAACGAGCAGCACTTCGTAGGTTCATTGATGAAGTGGAGACCGAATTCTGTCTCCGCTCTTCAGTTCAGAATCTTTCACTTCAGTTAAAATGCCGGCATTGTCGGCAATTTGGACGCTAATGAATTTCGTGGCGTGGCTGAGAACAGGGAGATGTGAGTATATAGGAGCATTCAGAGAAATTAGATAGACTTTGACTCAATTGCGATTCACTTTTTTGTGCTCGTGTGAGTTTCACTGTGCGCTCTCTGCTCCTGCTGTGGGCAGAATGTGTCGACATTTACTTGTATATCATATGACCCACTCAATTTTCTTTGTGATGAATCCTTTGCAATCTGAAAGAGAAGGCATCTTCATGAAACTGAACGATGTTCAGTTTCATGCGCACTATATAAAGAGGATTAAGAGGTTCAGC